TGCGCGTGCGTGCGCGTGCGTGCGCGTGCGTGCGCGTGCGTGCGCGTGCGTCCGTGTGCGTGCGTGTGCGTGCGTGTGCGTGCGTGTGCGTGCGTGTGCGTGCGTGTGCGTGCGTGTGCGTGCGTGTGCGTGCGTGTGCGCGTGCGTGTGCGTGCGTGTGCGTGTGCGTGTGTGCGTGTGTGCGTGTGTGCGCGTGTGCGTGTGCGTGTGCGCGTGTGCGTGTGCGCGTGTGCGCGTGTGCGCGTGTGCGCGTGTGCGCGTGTGCGCGTGTGCGCGTGTGCGCGTGTGCGCGTGTGCGCGTATGCGCGTGTGCGCGTGTGCGCGTGTGCGCGTGTGCGCGTGTGCGCGTGTGCGCGTGTGCGCGTGTGCGCGTGTGCGCGTGTGCGCGTGTGGGTGTGGGTGTGCATCTCTTACATATATGTCGGAGGTATTCAGGCGAGATCGAAATGGAGGCACCAGCGGCAGGCTCCAGCTTCACAGGGGCACGTTACTCAGCCCCGATGAACGGAGAGCCCCAAACCGAGAAAGCGTTTCCGTTTCTGGTTCGTGCCACGCGTGCAGACGAGTCGAAGTTGTGAATATATCGAGTTGGGGTTAGAGGGTGCGACACGCAGATGGTAATGGAGCTGAGAGAACAGACAGGAGTAGGAGGAAGGATGATGGAGAGGGAGGAGGGATGATGACGATGACGACGTTGAGGATGACCACGACGATGACGATGACGTCATCGATCCTCCTCGTCATCGGTGAGGAAGAGATAGAGTAGCAGGAGGGGAAGGTTCCCTCGTCTCCTCCCCAGACGTCCCCCGCCTCCCTCCTCCCCCTTGTTGTCCTTCCTCGTTCCTTTTTTCTTCCCTCCTCTCGGATGGGGGGGGTCACATTCTGACTTGACTATGGTCCGAAATTTGGCTCGATCCCGCTTCATCTGGGTAAATCCCGCTTAATCCGCGGCCTAATCTGGCGTAGCAGCCTCCCAATGGGGCGTAATCCTCCTTACTCATTCCCGCGAAGACCTCCCAGTAGTTTCTAGGCCTCCTAGATGGGGTCGGAGTAGATGGGGTCGGAAGATCGCGCCGCATCGCCGATGTATCGGCGATGCATCGGCGATGCATCGGCGATGCAGCTCGAGGTGGTGCCCAATTATCTCCACGCCCACGTTGCCGATGCATCGCTGACGCCGCTAGTGCATCGCCGATGCATCGCCGATGTATCGGCGATGCGGCGACATCCACGGACCCCATCTACTCGGACCCCATCTAGGAGGCCTCCATAGTTGCTTCCTAACCTCCTCGCTCTTCCCACGCCAGGTGTCTCTGACTGCAGGCTGTTGCTGATTCACCCAGGCTTCTGCTTCGACGATGATTCACCCCGTACACGTACTTTTGGGTGGCAAGCCGCCGAGAACGCGTACCAGCACGTAAGTTGGATCCAAGTCAGATTGGTCGTTGCTCATTGTTTCCCTTTCCCTCCATCCGTTGTGAGGAAAATCCTGGAGTCCTCGTGAAGCGCGCAAGAGTAGCATGATCTAGTCCACTTGTCAGTTCTGTAAGCTACGGGTCGACGCTAGCGCGGCGATGCTCCGGAGGCAGTCCAACGCAAATCCGACGCAAGTCCGACGTAAATCCGACGTAGATCCGACGCAGATCGGGCCTACAGTTGCCGCGCGAGGCCCCCAGGACTTGCCTCGTGGCAGGCGTCCTGGGATCCTCGCCCTCCGCCCTCCAGGCCGCGCCCCCGGGTCGCCCGCCGAGAGCCGGGTCGACCCAGGAGGGGGTCCAGCGACGAGGAGGCGTAGATTTGGTGCAATAGGTTTTTGGGGTTGCCATACGGTCAAAAACCCTAATAGGGACGCGCGACTTTGCTCAGGGTACCCTTGCGTCCTTGGTTTTCCTGGCTCTGGCGTCCTTAAGGTTTTCGTCGTCCGCCGCCCCAAAAAATCCCAACTTCGGCTTCCAAGGGTCTTGCGTCCTTACCGCGCGTCCTTATTAGGGTTTTTGACTGCACATATGTGGCGTGCAGTTCATCCCGGGTTGCAACTCTATTGCTGGATTTTCGCGTGCCATACATTACATGCAGCACCAGGCGGCACAATGCTCCAGCACCGTGCATCTGCAATACAGTCGGGGCCTTGAAGAAGGAACCCTTTTTGTTGGGGAGGGGCTCCACGTTCCTTAAGTGTTTCACAGCTTGCCTCAGGCTTTCCTGATGCTTTCGGCAGGAGATCGAAGGTTCACTCATGGAAAAAAGGGGCCTCGTTCCTTATTTAGGGTTCCTTAGGTCAACGCCCCGACTGTACAGTTGCCCGAGATCTGCTGCACGACCCCTGTTTGTCAGCTGGACCTCCCCTCCTGGGGCCACCCGCAGAGAGAGGTACCTGCGGCTCTGGGCCCTGTCCTCCTCCTCCTCCTCCTCCTCCTCCTCCTCCTCCTCCTTTCCTCCTCCTTTCCTCCTCCTTTCCTCCTCCTCCTTGGGCCGCCCGCAGAGAGGTACCTGCGGCTCTGGGCCCTGTCCCTGGCGCACCAGCAGCTCTCCCTCGTCTTCTTCGGGGTGCCCGGCGGCGGCCGCGGAGGAGGAGTGGGCGCGGGGAGGCCGCCGAGGAGGCGACGGCCAAAAAACAGCGCCAGGAGCGCACCTCCACCTCCTGCTCCTCCTCCTCCTCCTCCTCCTCCTCCTCCTCCTCCTCCTCCTCCTCCTCCTCCTCCTCCTTCTCCTCCCCCCCCTCCTCCTCCCGCAAGGGGGTTGAAGGGGGGAGCGGGGAGGAGGGGGTTGAAGGGGGGGCGGGGAGGGGGAGGGGGAGGGGGAGGGGGAGGGAAGGAAGGAGGAGGGAGGGAGAGAGGGAGGGAGGGAGGGAGAGGGGGAGGAGGTGGGCGGAGTTTGGATGCGTTGTGCCCCGTTTCTGGCTTCCCTGGGTCCTCCCACGGTCCCCGGGACTGTCGACAGAATGTCGTGGGAGGAACAGTTGGCCTTGGGAGAGATGCCCGGGGTTCATGACCCGCTGCACTCAGCCCCCCGGTTCCTTCATGTGATTATTATTGTTATTGTTAGTATTATTAGTATTATTATTATTATTAGTATTCTTATTATTATTATTATAATGATGATTCTCGCTTGAGGCCTCCAAGTTGCTGAAGCACCACAGGATGACCGCTTCAATCGCCGTTGGGAGAATGCACAAGCTTCGCTGTTGATTAGCAGCGCGGTGCTGAAAAACTCTCAGCATGCGGAAAATTGCACGAGCACAAACTTTGGGACGCCCGCGGGTTTCCCCTCCCCGCACCCTCCTTCGGCGCCTGCCCCCCGCGCGCCGCGCGTCGCGCGCAACAAGAGGGGTGCGGGGAGCCTTGCCTCCGAGTGGGAGTCCAAGCTGATGGGGCCGGAAGATCGCGCTACTCGGGCGATGCACGGATGATGCTGCTCGATGTGGAGCCCGGTCTTCTCCACGTCGGCAGCGCCGATGCAGCGGCGACGTCGCAAATGCATCGACGATGCATTGGCGATGCGTTGGCGATGCGGGGCGATCCTCCGACCCCGTTGGGGCCTCCAGTGCGTGGGGGACAGCGCTAGTGGAGAGAGCGCTGGCGGACGTCAGAAGAGCTTGTGCTTGTACGGTCTGTTTTGGGGAGCTTCTACGGGCCGATGAGGGCCACTTTGGGTTCACGGGGGCCCCTGGTAAACCCAAAGTGGGCCTCGTCGGCCGAAAAACGAGAGCCCATCGTCGAGGGGCGCTATCGTTTTCGGGCCTTCATGCCGGGAGGAGTAGAGTGCCGCAGCCTTTCTCTTTGCAGTTGTTACTTGCGCCGCACCAGCTTGCAGCCCGAACAAGGGCCACCTTGCCCAGGGCGATCGCTACTTTCTTGCCACAGCGACGCCACAGTCAAGACGCTGAGGTATGGACCAGGATGGGCTCAGGAGGGGCTCTGCTTTTCGGACCGTTCCTTCGATCCAGGTCGGCGAACTTGTTCGTGGCCGAGGCTCGCCGTGGCAAGGCCCGCTCGCTCTGAATTCAGCTTCCCTTGTGGGAGCACGATAACTGCACAGCTCAACATGTGCTCAACAAGTCTGCGCAGCGCAGCATCGGGGAGGCGCAAGATTCGATTTCGCCAGAACTCGGGTTTGCCGACGCCTTTTGACGAGCCCGCCCTGGATTTTGACGATCCGGTGTTGGCCGCATGCTTGCAGCGGGAGTTGGCGTCAAGCTTCGGATTGGGCCTCGCTGTTTCTCGAAGAGCCCAGTCAGATCAGCTCGCGTCCTTCAAACTCACGTCTCACGTTTCCCCTATAATCGAAGAAGGAAAAAGGCCATTACCCCAGTGCGACCATACCTAGAAGTTGGAGCCCCTAGGAAAGTAGCATTAGTTGCTATGCCATGCTATGCTGCGCTGTGCTATGCTATGCTGTGCTATGCTGCGCTATGCTCTGCTATGCTCTGCTATGCTATGCTGCGCTGTGCTGTGCTGTGCTGCGCTATGCTATGCTATGCTATGCTATGCTATGCTGCGCTATGCTATGCTATGCTGGGCTATGATATGTTGTGATGCGCTACGCTATGCTGTGCTCTGCTATGCTATGCTATGCTATGCTAAAGATCAGCGATGCTAAGATGGAGGTAAGCTAAGCTAAGATAAACATGAGCTAAGATGAAGCTGAGCTAAGCTAAGATGAAGTAAGCTAAGCTAAGATGTGATAAGCAACGTCAAGCTAAGGGAACGTAACTGGGGGAACCGCGGGGCGGATGCCGGGGGAACCGCCCGGGGCGGTTTCCATTGCCCGGCCCTTTAAAGCACACAGGGTAAGAACCCTTCTAGTCAGAGTCTCGGTGGGGAACAGACATAAACTGTTCGCTCTCCGCGCAGATCCAAGAAACCCGCTCGGAGCGCGAAGGGCTTATGTTTCTGGCGTTGCTTCTTCTTCTAGACTCGGGTCAGGCCTGTCCCTCTACGGGAGGCATTTTCCAGAATAGTCAAACAATTGTGCGGGGACGATGCTTGACAAGGTTTGAGGAGTTGTTGATTACTGTTCGAATCTGTTTTTCAGATTTCGCCCAAAATTCACCTGTACAGTCGGGGCCTTGAAGAAGGAACCCTTTTGGTTGGGGAGGGGCTCCGCGCTCCTTAAGTGATTCACAGCTTGCCTCAGGTTTTCCTGATGCTTTCGATAGGAAATCGAAGTGTAACTTATGGAGACAGGGGGCCTCGTTCCTTATTTAGGGTTCCTTAGGTCCACGCCCCGACTGCAGGGGGACAGGCCCGACCCCATTCTGGAGTGGAGTGCGGGGGGCCGGCTCGCTGCCGCCGCCGGGCCGCCCCGAGACGGCCGCCCCGCGCCGGGCGCCCCACAGGTGCTCCTCAGCGGGCTGTCGATGCCCTTCCCGCTCAACGTTGCCGCGCGCCCGGCCGGCTCTCCGCCGCCACCGCTTGGGCGTTGCGTAATAGGGGGGTCATAAATGGGGGGGTGGCGAGAGTGGTCCGAAAAGGTACCCAAACGGTACCTAAACGAGCCCCCTGGGGCTCCGGAGGGGCCCGAAAGGGGCACGAAAGGGGACCTTTTCTGACCCCCCCATTTGTGACCCCCCCATTAAGCCACGCCCAAACCGCGCCCACCTCGGGCCGGGCGAGAGGTCCAGCGGGCGGCGAAGCGTCGTCTTGGCTCGCCCAGAATAGTCAGGAGCGAAAGGAGGACGCACGCGTGCGGTAGGTTTGCGCCGTGTCGACCAGCGGCGACCCCAGCGCGGGCGTTCAAGGTTGAACGCCGCCGGCGACCCAGAATCGATCGATGTTGAACGATCGGACGTTGCGGCAGCGGCCGATCGTTCAAGGTTGAACGATCCCTGCGGTGTCGAAAACCAACGCTGGGGTCGGCACGACACGAACCTGCCGTACATGAATCCACGCTGATAGCGAGAGTGCGCATTGCGCAAATGTTCGTATCACGCGGCCGGTCTCGCGGATCGAGGGGCCGCGTGCATGTACATGGCTGGGCGCGCACGTCCTTTGTAGGCTCCCCATATAGCCCTGCCAAACACTGCTCTAAGAACCTTCTTGTGGGTCCCACGAAATGCTCTTAGAACATTTCTGGCGGAGGCTGTCTTGTTGTATCACATCGGGCTTACGTTCTAAGAACATTGTTGTTGTTATTTGAACATATTTGGACTACATTGTTTTTGTTATTTGGACATTTCTGGGTTCTAAAATCACATGTCGTGGTAGGACTATAGGAATGCCGGGACGGTCGGTCCCTGCTCAAAAAGGGGGGGGAACATTTTTGGGGGTTCTAAGATCACATGTCGTGGTAGGACTATAGGAATGCCGGGACGGTCGGTCCCTGCTCAAAAAGGGGGTGGCATAGGGAAAAAGGGGGTCCCGCTGGTTCCGGCCCCATCTCCGGGCCCCCACTCCTCGACACACGGGCGCCTCCCGGCGCCGGGAGGCGCTGGGAAAACCAGCCACGTGAGCTGGTTCTCTGTTCTCTACCCTACCCCAGATTTCGTAATAAAAGGGAGGGGGTCTGGACCCTCCCAGACGAGCCATTCCAGCCTCCCCCCCCTCGTGGGAGAACCCTCCAGAGCATCGTCCCCAGACCCCCCCAGGCCTTCCAAGATAATTAGCCTGGAAGAGACCCCCCCTCCGAAATGAGACCCCCCTCCCTTGATTACGAAATCTGGAGTACCCTACCCTTTGCTGTCACCCTCTTTCGTTCCTCCCGACCCTCGAGGCTCAAGGGACTCCAGGCCTCCCGGGGTCCGAGCAGCTGGGGTCGGAGGGCCGCGTCCCCTCGCCGATGCATCGGCGACGCATCGGCGATGCGGCCCGGTGTGGAGCCCGACTTTCTTCACGCCGACGTCGCCGATGCATCGCCGACGTCACCAGTGCATGGCCGATGCATCGCCGATGCATCGCCGATGTTGCGAGATCCTCCGACCCCATCTACTCCGACCCCATCTAGGAGGCTTCTAGGGACGGGGGTTCAATGCAAACGGGGGCCAGTCAGAGCGCCAGATCTTGCAGGATCCTGCAGAGCCAGGGATGCGTTGACCTGGGCTTGCGCGCAGGATCCTGCAGGATCTCGCAGGATCCTGCAAATCCTGGCTGACCTGGGTCTGCATTGGCGATGGTCAGTAGATCCCCGCGACCCCCTCCCGCCCCTCTTCTCGGTACGACGGGAATGGATACTGAAATCGTGGGCACAAGGACCGACATAGTTTCGTGATCATGTTGAAGAGGGCTCGCTGTCGGTGTGGCCGCGGGCGTTGCCTATTCCAGACGGAAGGCCGCCTGCCCAAGCTGTCTGCTTGGGACACTATTGTAATGGCCTCCGGCCAGTGCCGCCGATCCAGGTGTTCCAGATTCGGTGATTTTCGCGGCTCCGTGGCCTCCTCCCTCCTCGATTCTTCCCGTCCTCTTTCTTCTCCTCTGGGGGTGGTGCCGGGGGGGTCCGGGGAGGGTTCCGAAGGGAGGGTCCTGGGCGCGGTAGCGGCTAGATCTGAGGGGGGGTCCCTAGGAGCCCCCGAAACATCTTGGGGATGCGCAAATCATTAAGAAAACGCCACATGGGGGGACCGCTACCCCCCCCCCTCCCCCATTCCCGGGGGGGTCCGGATGCGCAAATCATCATGGAAACGCCAGATGGGGGACCGCCCCCCCCTCCCCCCCCTTCCCTTGGCAGAGCCACCCCGGCGACCCTCCCCCAAGCAGAGCTGAAGCTCTCGCTTAGGCTCAGAGCTGAAGCTCTTGCTGAGGTTCCTTGTAACTCACACGTCGGATCGGCGGTTTTGTTGTCGGGTATCGTGCATACAGTGAAGACCCATGCCAAGAAACACCCTGCTTGTCTCCAGGGTGCCCATGGTTTCTTGGGTTTCGATGGTTTTGCAATGGAAAGCGCGACGTGCCCACACCAAAAATCCATGGACGCCCTGGGGTCTCAGGGTTGGGCTTTTTGTGGAAGGTCTCTTGTGGTCGGGCACCTACTGGATTTGTTGTTGGGCATAGTGCCTATTGTTGTTCCGCACTCATTTCAGGACTCAAGATATCCTCGCTGTGCCCCTCGGCCCCCCCCCCAGAAACCAGCCGAAGGCTGGCACACCCGTAGCTGCTAAACCAGAGCTCCGCGAAATTTGTTGTTTCTTCCGGGGAGCAGCCCGCTTATTATTTACCGCGCAGAGGTTTATTCCGGGAATATGTTGCCAACCATCCTCTTGTGTTGGGTCCTCGTTTTTAAGAGACGGTGCCCCGCGTCTCCTCCTTCCGTCCTCCTCCTCCCTCCTCCCATCACCATCATCATCATCATCACCCTCTTCTTCACACCCAGCGCACGTTTTGTGGCCCCATAGGGAGCTCCACCGAAAGCCCCACTGGGACCGCCCGCGTGCGTCACGCACCACCCAGTACACCGCCCGCATGCGTCACGCACCACCCAGCACAGAGCTTCGTGGCCCCATGGGGAGCCCCACCGAAAGCCCCAGTGGCACCGCCCGCATGCGTCACGCACCACCCAATACAGCGCTTCTTGGCCCCATAAGGAGCTCCACCGACGGCCCCAGTGCGGCCGCCCGCATGCGTCACGCACCACCCAGCACAGAGTTTCGTGGCCCCATAGGGAGCCCCAGCGAAAGCCCCAGTGCCACCGCCCGCATGCGTCACGCACCACCCAGCACAACGCTTCGTGGCCCCAAAAGGCGCTCCACCGACGGCCCCAGTGCGGCCGCCCGCATGCGTCACGCACCACCAAGTACAGCACTTCGGGGCCCCATACGGAGCCCAACCGAAGGGCCCAGTGCCTTCGCCCGCATGCTTCACGCACCACCCAGTACAGCGCGTCGTGGCCCCATAGGGAGCTCCACCGAAGGCAACAATGGGACCGCCCGCATGCGCCACGCACCACCCAGTACAGCGCTTCGTGGCCCCATACGGAGCTCCACCGACGGCTCAATGGCACCGCCCGCATGCGACACGCAACACCCAGTGCTGCGTTTGCCCCACGCGGCACAGCGTTTCGTGGCCCCATAGGGAGCTCCACCGAAAGTCCCAATGGAACCGCCCGCATGCGTTTCCCCCATCCAGTACAACGTTTCGTAGCCCCATACGGGACTCCACCGAAGGCCCCAGTGCCACCGCCCGCATGCATCTCCCCCACACAGTACAGCGTTTCGGGGCCCCATACGGAGCTCCACCGAAGGCCCCAGTGGAACCGTCCGCATGCGTCTCCCCCACCCAGTATTGCGAATGGCGGCCCCATCGGGAGCCCCACCGAAAGCCTCAATGGCACCGTCCATATTGCGTCCCCCCCCCACCCAGCACAGCGCTTCGTGGCCCAACAGGGAGCTCCACCGAACGCCCGACTGGCAAAGTCCACGTGCGCTTCCCCCGCCCAGCACAGCGTTTCGTGGCCCTGGGGAGCTCCACCGAAGGCTTCAGTGGCAAAGTTCGCATGTGTTTCCCCACCCAATACAGTGTTCCGTGGCCCATAGGGAGCTCCACCGAAGGCCCCAGTGGCAAAGTCCACATGCGTCTCCTCCACCCAGTGCAGCGTTTCGTGGCCCATAGGGAGCGCCACCGAAGACGATATCCACAACTGCGGTATTCACAACTACGTATGGTTGGGTCCTTCGCCAGGCTCATTGTTCCCAACCATATTGTGGTGTTGGGTCCTCGTTATGAAGAGACAGCGCCCCGCGTCACTCACTCACTCCTCCTCCCACTCCTCTCTCTTCCCGTCACCCACACCCACTTTGGCACACCCCTTACACGCTTCGTGGCCTCATATGAATGAAGCTCAACCGAAGGCCCCAGTGCCACCGCCCGCATGCGTCACCCACACCCATTTCGGCACACCTCTCACACAGTTTAGTGGCCCCATAAGGAGCTCCACCGGAGGCCCCAGTGCCACCGCCCGCATGCGTCACCCACGCCCATTCTGGCGCTTTTCACACGTTTCGTGGCCCCGTAGGGAGCACAACCGAAGGCACCACCAGCACCGCCCGCATGCGTTACCCAGACCCTTCGCTTTGGCTCACCCCTCACACGTTTCGTGGCTTCGTAGAAAGCTCCACCGGAGGCCCCAGTGCCACCGCCCGCATGCGTCACCCACACCGATTTCGTCACACCCCTCACACGTTTCAGGGGCCCCATAGGGAGATCCACCGAAGGCCACAGTGCCACCGCCCGCATGCGTCACCCACACCCATTTCGGCACACCCCTCACACGTTTCGTGGCCCCATAGGAGTTCCACCGAAGGCCCCACTGCCACCGCCCGCATGCGTCACCCACACCCATTCTGGCACACCCCTCACACGTTTCGTGGCCCCATAGGGAACTCCACCGAAGGCCCCAGTGCCACCGCCCGCATGCGCGACCCACACCCATTTCGGCACACCCATCACGCGCTTCGTGGCCCCATAACGAGCTCCACCGAAGGCCCCAGTGCCACCGCCCGCATGCGTCACCCACATCCATGTTGGCACACCCCTCACACGTTTCGTGGCCCCATAGGGAGCTCCACCGAAGGCCGCACTGGCACCGCCCGCATGCGTCACCCACACCCATTTCGGCACACCCCTCACATGTTTCGTGGCTTCGTAGAAAGCTCCACCGGAGGCCCCAGCGCCACCGCCCGCATGCGTCACCCATGCCGAGTTCGGCACAACCCCTCACAAGTTTCGTTGTCCCATAGGGCGTTCCACCGAAGGCCCCAGTGCCACCGCCCACATGCGTCACCCACACCAGTTTCGGCACACCCCTCACACGTTTCGTGGCCCCATAGGAGTTCCACCGAAGGCCCCACTGCCACCGCCCGCATGCGTCACCCACACCCATTTCGGCACACCCCTCAGACGCTTCGTGGCCCCATGGGGAGCTCCATCGAAGGCCACAGTGCCACCGCCCGCATGCGTCACCCACACCCATGTCGGCACACCCCTCACACGCTTCGTGGCCCCATAGGGAGTTCCACCGAAGGCCCCAGCGCCACCGCCCGCATGCGCCAACCGCACCCATTTCGGCACACCCCACACACCAATTTCGGCACACCCCATCACACGCTCCGTGGCCCAATAGGGAGCACCACCGAAGGCCCCAGTGCCACCGCCCGCATGCGTCACCCACGCCGATTTTGTCACACCCCTCACACGCTTCGTGGCTCCATAGGGAGCTCCAACGAAGGCCCCAGTGCCACCGCCCGCATGCGTCACCCACACCCATTTCGGCACACCCCTCACTCGCTTCGTGCCCCCATAGGGAGCTGCACCGAAGGCGCCAGTGGCTGCGCTCGCATGCGCCCACCGCACCCATTTCGGCACACCCCTCACACGTTTCGTGGCCCCATGTGGAGCTCCACCGACGGCCCCAGTGGTTGCGTTCGCATGCGCCCACCGCACCCATTTCGGCACACCTCTCACGTGCTCCGTAGCCCCATAGGGAATTCCACCGACGGCCTCAGTGGCTGCTTCCGCATGCGCCCACAGGACAAATTTTGGCACACACACACACACACACACACACCTCACACGCTTCGTGGCTTTATAAGGAGCTCCTCCGAATGCGGTGCATACAACGATGTTGCTCACAGCTGCATATGGTAAGGTCCTTCGCCAGGCTAGTTTTATTTGTCGTCCACAATCCGCCCGACCGAAGGCCAGTACAGAGTTGCTTACCGAAGCTCAATCCATCAGAGGGTGCATTACCTGCCCCGCCTTCGCTTCCAGGCAGGACAAAGAGATGCCACGCGCACCCTCGTCAAGTGCTCGGGCCGTTGCGGGCCAGCCCACGGGGGTGTCGTCTGGCTCCCGCTTGGAAGCCGGGGTGGCCAGACTGGAGAGAGGTTCGTTTGCCTCTCAATCCACCGAGCCATGTTCGAAGCTTCATGGTTCTCTGGGGTGGACAGAACCCCCACCCTGACACGTCGATTAGTACATTGTCCGTTTTCGGTCCCGAGGGGGCGCCGCGGCCGTCATTTTCCAGGCTTGCGCCCGCCGGGTTTGGGCCCGAGGTCGTTTTCACTAAACCACGTGTTACCAAAGGGGGTTCTGTCCATCCCTAGGTTCATGGACCTTCGTGGCTGTCTGGTGCCGTCCCAGCGCGGCGAGGAATTTCCCCCCCCCCCCCACCCCGGTGCTGTTCTGTTGATGCCGCGGGGCACATGGTCGGCAGTGGAATAAGACAAGGTTGGACAGAGGCAAGAGACAAAACAAAAACCTACGACAGCACAACGACCACGATACCGCCTTGCGTCCCCTGAAATGCTGGCGGATGTTGCTTAAGTGCATGTGTGTCAGTGGCTGCGTCTGAGCAAGTGACTTCCTCGGAAGTACCGTTCCTTTCAGAAACCCGTGTTGGGTCCCGCCATTGAGCTCGTTAGGTGAGCAGTCCGCTCCGATCGCCCCTTCGATACTCGTCTTTGGCATTCGATCAAAGATGTGTAGTGCATGTCCTGCCGCGATATGCCGTAATCTCCAAGGGCCCAGCCCCATGGCGGACTACCCTCTGTGGCGCATGAGAGTTCATCCACGATTGAGAGAGGAAGCGGGTGGAGAGGGACAGGGTTGAGGAAGGAAGGGGAACGAGCACGCCAAATTTTGATGAACTTGCGGGCGCTTAGTTCACCACCTACATCGCGTTCGCCTTCTGGTTCTCGGTGACGGTTGGCATATTGTGTGGCGCGCCCCACAGCGTCCGTTGTGACATGTGGTTATGTCGGTTGGGTTGCAAGGGTGAGGACGATATCTCAGTGGTCAAGCATGGTGTGGCCGCGCCAGTCCTGAATTCGCCGAAAGCCGCGTCATCCATTGGAGCTTTCAGTTGTTACAGGAGACGCAGTCGTGGTCTCATGCCCATTCCCCCTTCTCAAGGACCTCCGCTTGAAATGTTCGATAGTGGTTCCGCGCCTCCTCCTTCGAGCTGAGTTGTACTGAGTAACAGACAGATTCAAGCCTCCTCCCGATAATATTGCTTTGTCTGTACCCGAGCACGCTGAACGTTGCACCTTCAGCGCTATTCCCACCAGCCCATCCAAATCCAACTGCTAGGCGAGTTGCCTTAATCAGGGATGCGCAGCACCGTGCAGTCACGCTCGGGGATCCTCTTGGAGGCTTCCTGGGGCCATCGTGGAGCCTTCTTGTGGCCCTCTTGGGGCCATGTTGGAGGCCGTTGGGGCTGTTGGGGCGCTCTTGGAGCTCTAATGGGGCTCCATGGGGGCAAGTCTGGAGGCCGCACGGGCCCTCGTGAGGCTGCCCAGGAGGCCATCGGTAAAACAGAGGGCGGCGCTTGTGTCAGCCCCCTTCCGTCGGGGCCCTCGAAACCGTCGCTTAGGGGCCCTGTTGGGGCGCTCGTGAGGCCGTCTTTGGCCTCTCGTGGGGCTATCGTGGGTCATATTGGAGCCACCTGGATGCCTCAAGAGCCCATAGGCTTTGATTGGATTTGGGCCTCTTCTAGGGGTCCTTGGAAGGCTCTGTGGCCACTGGGAACGGTCTTTGCGCGGTCTTGAGGCCTCTTGGAGGCAGAGGTTGTATGGAGCCGCCTTGGGCTACTTTGTACCATCTTGGCGGCCACTTAGGACTATATGAGACAATCTTCGAGCCATGGTGGGCCGTCTTTGACTCTCCAACGCGTCGCGACCCAGGGGAGGGACTTCCCCTAACCACGGGCGAACCACTCCAGACCCTGCTCGGGCTGGAGTCACGGTATGCGCAGGATGCCCGCGCTCCAAGACGGTCCCAAGAGGGTCCAAGAGGCCTCCAAGACGGTCCAAGACCGCTCCGAGGCGCCGAAGATGGCCTCAAGAAGGCTCAGGGGGCCCCCAAGACGGCCCACGAGGGCTGCAAGAGGACCCCCACGAGAGCCTCAAGCTGCAAAAATGACTCCATCCCTCCAGGAAACGTATATTTGCAGCATCCTGTCTGGACGCCCGAAATGGGTACCGGAAAAAAATGCCCAACAACAAATGTTGTCCCGAACCACCAGCGGCCGGTGTTTGGCAGGCAGCCTTCTGTTTCAAATGAACACAGTCCGCGGCGACGCCGACAGCGAGTCTTGTTCAAAGTGAACAGGAGTTGCTGTCGGTCTTTCTACCCCGTCTTTCCATCCCCTTTCCGTCGTCCCGATATTGGCTTTTTTGGTTCAAATAGCATCCCAGAGTCCCTCGGGGGGCTCGAGAGGGGCCCTGGAGGACCCCAAACGGCCTCGCGCGCCCAAGAGGGGCCCCAGATGCCTCCGTGCCTCGAAAGCGCCCACAGAGAACACGACAAGCATACAGTAGGGACCCGACCACAACAAACCTTCCACAAGAAGCCCAACCCTGAGACCCCAGGACGCCAGGACGCCCACTGATTGTCGGTGCTGGAACGGCGCGCTTTCCATCGCAAAACCATTGAAACCCAAGAGACCCAGGGCACCCTACCCTGGAGGCAAGCAGGGTGTTTCTTGGCATGGGTTTCCACCGTAGAGCGCGGTGCGCCCTCACTGGGCCCGAGAGGCCCCCAAGAGGTCCCCGAGAGACCTCCAGCAGTGCTCCGCGAGGCCTCAAGAAGAGCCTCCTGGAGTTAAGTCGGGCCTGCCCCTCGACGGCACGAACATTCCAAAAGATAGCCACGAAGTAAGATGGGGACAATTTTCTGTTTGGTATGTTTCTTCCTTCCCTACCCCCCCCTCTTTGTTCATTCAAGCTTCGCGCGGCCCGCTTAGCTTCGACCGGAAGAGGTGCGCTCTCGACCCGCGAATCAAAAAAAAATGTTTGGTATGCTTGAGCATCTTTTGAGTTTTTGTGTGGTTGTCTTCTTGTTTTCCCTCCAAAATCCGCCCGTGGGGGGGGGCGTGCCCGACCCGATCCCGGAGGCGCCCAGGAGGCTCGCGGGCCTGCCGCGGGAGCCCGCCGCGCTGGCCGGCCGTGCTGGTCCGGCCGGCCGTGCTGCCTACGAGTCGGGCCCGAGTTGGGCCTCAAGAGGGCCCCCCCCCTATCGCCGTGCGAAAGGGGTAAAACGACGCGAAGATCGGGACAAAATCGGATCGGGATAACTCGAAATCTCAGAATCGGCGGGTTCGGAGGACGTATTGGGCGCCGCGGCCGCTCCAGAGCGTTCCGGAACGCTCTGAGAGCGCTCCGGAACGCTCTGGAGCGATTTATCCCGATCCTAGCCCTGCTGGGGAATGGGAAAGGGGGGGGTACGAAATTTGCTGCGTGCAGCTGGTTTCGGCCCCACCGAGGGGCCCATTCCTCGATGCGCCGGGAGGCGCCAGGAAGATCAGCTACGCGAGCTGGTTCTCACCCCCCCCTTTGCTATCCCCCCCTTTCGCCCAGCCCGACCCTAGCGTTCGTTGGGTCGGGCATGGCCCCCTACAGGCGGCTCCTGGGCGAAAAAATGAAAGACAGCCAGAGGTGTCCAAGACATTGGCAAGACTGGCCAAAAAGTCGTCCCCAGACGATGTTCGGACTATGTTCGAAGACTCCTCCGGCCGAGGGACGCGCCCGACTTGAGCCTGGCAACCCCCGAGAGAGGCCTCCCATGGGCCCCGACGATGTCCTGGAGAGGCCTGCAGGAGGCCCCCGGGAGGCCCCCTGGCCCTCCGCTCCCGAGGGCCCCCCCGAGACGTGCCCGAGAGGGCCCTCCCCGCTCTGCCGCGCCGAGCTGGTCTGCCGTGTGGGTCGTCTGCCGTGCCGCTCGGCCGTGCCGGTCTGGTCCTCCTCCTCCTCCTCCTCCTCCTCCTCCTCCTCCTCCTCCTCCTCCTCCTCCTCCTCCTCCCCTCCTCCTCCTCCTCCTCCTCCTCCTCCTCCTCCTCCTCCTCCTCCTCCTCCTCCTCCTCCTCCTCCTCCTCCTCCTCCTCCTCCCGCCTCCTCCTCCTCCTCCTCCTCCTCCTCCTCCTCCTCCTCCTCCTCCTCCTCCTCCTCCTCCTCCTCCTCCTCCTCCTCCTCCTCCTCCTCCTCCTCCTCCTCCTCCTCCTCCTCCTCCTCCTCCTCCTCCTCCTCCTCCTCCTCCTCCTCCTCCTCCTCCTCCTCCTCCTCCTCCTCCTCCTCCTCCTCCTCCTCCCCTCCCCCTCCCCCTCCCCCACCTCCTCCTCCCCCGCCTCCTCCGCCTCCTCCTCATCATCATCCTGGCTCGGTTTGCGCGAAGGGGGGGGGAGTCTTGCGGCGCAGGGCACGGGGGAGGAGCAGACCCCTCCCTGGATGGGAAGAAAGGGGTTGAACAAACTAATCAGTTCAAATGATCGCAAGCACGGATCAAGAGGGCGTGGATTATCGACGGGTCCCGTTTCCATGGTAAATCACGGATTTCCGCCGCCGAGCGAGGCGGCACCGGCCGCATTTTGGGGAGGGCACTTCTCCCAATGCATGGATTTGGCGACCGCGCGCCACATCCATGGATTAACCCATGTTTGCGAGCCCCCGATTAGCTAAACCACACGCACCGAAGGGCCAGTGGGATTGTGCAGTCGTCTGTTCTGCAGTGCAAGGCTAGCAGAGTTCATACAGACGTGTTTGCTTCTTGTTTGGGAGCACGTGTTCCGATTTGCTCTACGAGATCCAGCATATGACAGTGGTGATGATTTGCAGCGCTCAGCGAGCTGAAGGTCGTCGCAGGAAGGTTGTGCATATTGCCTGCATCCGACTCAATTGGCCCAGGACCTCGTAGAGCGTTCGCGAAACCCTTCGTGGCTTTCCTGGCGTGTTTGCGGGGTGTCCGCCCAGCCGAATCCTATGTTTGGGGGATTTTCTCGCGGAGTTGTTTCGGTGTGTTGGCATGCGGCATGACCATCAGCATTATCCTCTTCATCCTCCCGACTTCCTTCCAGCAGCAGCAGCAGAAGCACAAAGAGTAGTGGAGGTGACGAGGGAGGCAAAGTGGGGTGGGAGAGGTTGTCAGGCGATCGCATGCATGGACCAAGGGGGCGTGGATTAGCGACGGGTCCCGTTTCCATGAGAGATCGCGGAGTTCCGCCGCCGAAAGAGGCGGCGCCCGCCGCATTTGGGGGAGGGCACCTCCCCCGATCCATGTTTGCGCGCCCCCGAGGTTAGCCCTCCCAACGAACTCCTGGAATGTCAAATTCTGCCTTCGCCCTGGCCCGAAACCCGGCACAATCTAGCGCGATCCCGCTCACTCCGTTTGAATCCCGCCGAATCCGGCTCAATCAGCGGTCTGATCCGGCGGAGCAGCCCCCCAATCGGGCTCCATTGTCCCTGATCTTTCCGACGAAGACCTCCCAGTGGTTTGTTCCTACAGTGCCGTTGTTAATACATGCTCCGCGTGCGGATCATGTGTCAAAAATGCAGGGATGTAGTATTAGAAACAATGATGAGTTCATGCATAAGTGTATTCATACATGAGTCATGTATTATAAATCCTAGATGTGTTAAAATCCCATGTATTAAAAACTGCCCTGTAACCCTCCCCAGTCGGCCTGAGCGGATGGATCAGTCGAAGTTGTAGTCACAGCCATTTCCACAGGGATCCCAAGAGGGAGCCCCCCAAAGCGACTGCAGAAGTGGTCCTCAGCACGGCCCCGACCTCCCAGAAGCGAGTACCAGAGGGTGCGGTGTGGCATCCGTGGCGAAGGTTCCTTCCAGAGATTGTCGCAGGAGAGCGCTTGGCATTGACATCCGATTTCTTACGAGTTCCGGAGCGCGCACCGTTGGACGGAGTGCAAGGTATGGACACCATGGAGTGTTTCTTGCACACGTTGCGGCTACACTGGATCGAATTCCAGAGCAAGTTCTACAAGGCTTGACGCGTCCGTCCAGTTGAGTTGAGCAGCAGGTTGCGTCGCCTCTTGTTTGGAATATAGTCGCGCCTGCAGCTACAACTTGGGGTCGTTGTTGTAGTAATGGGTCGCCTCGACTGTCTGATGGCGTGCCCTAGCCCGCCACCGTCCCCGGGTCGTGCATGGGAGGCTTCCTGAAGGCATCGGGCGTTCGGAGGCCTCTTCGGAGGCTCTTTGGGGCATCTTGAGGCCTCTACACCTTAGGCGATGCTTAAGAAAACTTAAGTTTTCGTCCAGAGTCTCGATTACTCTTAATTTTTCAATGTAAATCCCAATATTGTGATAGAAGTTCTGGGTTTTATTCAAGTTCTGAGACTCTGAGTTTCTTAAACCATGATTTCTTAAGCGTTTCGCAGGGTCAGGGAACCCAGGGGAGGTCTTGGGGACCCTTGGGGCCCTCTTGGGCGCCTTTTGAGCCCCTCCCAGGGGCTTGAGAGTTGTCATGGTGCGATCGGGAGGGCATCTTGGGCCTCCTCTGACGCTCTCGAGACCGACAAAGAGATCAAGCGACAACCTCAGAACATTGGACGACGGAAGCCTCGTGCGCCGTCCCCACGGCGGCGACAAAGACACCGGAGGGAGCCCCAAGGCGGGGCCCTGGAGCGACCCTGAAAGTGTCTGGGTCCCCAGCCCCCTTTATTCGGCACCGGACGGCCGCGCGAGAAGCCGCTTCGGCGACAACACAGGGTATGCTTGTGCCGGGCGTGGTCTGCGATCGCCACAGGTGTCGGTTGGGTCCCGACGCGCGCTCTCGGCGCAGCTGGGGACGGAAGGGGAAGGGGAAAGCAGCGAATGAGAGAGCCTGAGAAGCTTCGTATTCTGTCTTCAAGAAGTGACATAAACATAAAAACTCGGAGGCTCGCGCGGATTTCTCGGATCGGCGCTGGCCCCCCCTCCCTGGCGCGCGGAGCGCGCCAGGGGCGGCGCCGGAGGCGCCGCCGGAGGCGCCGCCGGGGCGCCCCAGCGCCGATCCGAGAAATCCGCGCGGACCTCCGAGTTTTTATGTTTATGCCACTTGTTGTTCCCATATGTCTTGCGGTCACGATCGAAAGGCAGGTTGAGGCCCCCATTGCGGCTGCAATTGGCGGCGCGCAGAAGGGGGTAGGGGGAGGGGGGAAGGCTTCTTAGAAGCACCCCTGCTTCTTAGAAGGCGCGGGCCTTGTGTAGAATGTAAGGCCGGCGCCCTCTAAGAAGCAGCCTCCTTCTGAGAAGCCCTGCCCCCTCCCCCTGCCCCCCTCTGCGCGCCGCCAATGCAAAATGCCGGCTCCCTGGGGGCCCAGGGGAGCACGAGCGCTTGCCCTCGTCGGGCCTCCCCGGGGCGCGGCGGAGGGCGCCCCTCCGTCGAGGCTTTCTCGCCCGCCCCCCGGGGGGGGGAGGGGCCCTGGGGTGCGTGCCGGCTGCGGGCCGCGCCCTCTGCAGGCCTTCAGTCGGGCCTGTCCCTTCCTACAGGGAGATGTTCGACGAAACATAAAACAATCCCAGAAAATAATGCAAAAATAATCAGAAAATAGTCCGGGGCCTGAAATGTTTGAGTATGTTTTTGATCTTTCTGGGGCATTTTTTTTTTGTTTTAATTCTTCGTCGGAACTCCCCCTGTACGGGGACACGCCCGACATAACTAGTGCAAGCCATGCGCAGAGGGGGGCGATGGGGGAGGGCGGAGGAGGCTTCTCAGAAGCACCTCTGCTTCTTCGAAGGCGCGGGCCTCCTCTGCACGTGCAAGGCCAGCGCCTTCCAAGGGGCGGCCCCCTTCTAAAAAAAAAAGATATATATTTATATATATATATATATATATAAAAAAAAAAAAAAAAAAAAAAAAAAAAAAAAAAAAAAAAAAAAAAAAGGGGCGGCCCCCTTCCAAGAGGCCTTCCCCCCTCCCCCGTCGCCCCCCTCTGCGGGCCGCCAGCTTCTGCAAGCCACACCCTGCGGAGTCGCCGACGGCGGGAGGCGGCCAGGGCAGCCCGCGAGCGGGGGCGTTGTGGGGCCACGGAGCAGTTGCAAGCAAGACCGTGAGTTGTTGAGGGGCTGAAGACATTTCACAGGTGCCCTCGGCACGCTTTCGGTCGCCCGTTTGCCCCTGCTTTTAGCTTCCTGGGAAGCCCTCGTCGCAACCGCTGGATTCGCCTCGAAAGCTTAGTATCGGTAAACTTGGGCTTCCCCATGAGAGGGGAAAGGGGGGCATGGTCGCTGAAACCGCCGTGCTGCGTCCGCAACAGGCCTGACGGAGCGTTCGAGCATGGGCGGGCGCACGAGCGGAGGAGCCTCGACGCCCACAGCGAAGTGGGGACCGCGAGGAGATGCGAGAACGGGTGCTCGCGCGTAGGGCGAGGGGAAGGAGCATGGGGAGGAGGTGGAGGAGGAGTAGGAGCAGGATGCAGGCGCGGAGGAGCAGGGGACCTTGCTCGAGAAACCGACCCCGAGAGCGCAACGCGTTGTCACGGACAGGGGCGACCGGGGAGCAATGAGGAGGCGCACCTGCGTGTGCGGGCAGATTTTTGAAGAGCGGCGCGCCGGGAGTGAGTAGAATGGACCTCCTCCTCATCCTCCTCATCCTCCTCCTCCTCCCCCTCCTCCACGCCAAGAAACACCCTGCTTGCCTCCAGGGTGCCCTGGGTTTCAAGGGTTTCGATGGTTTTGCGATGGAGAGCGTGACGTTCCCACGCCAAAAATCAATGGACGTTTCTCGTGGAAGATTTTCTTGTGGTCGGGCATCCACTGTAGTGGAATACATGCACGATGCCAGACAGTAAGTGCTGTCCAACACTGGGGAGCCGCGGCTGTTGCGCGGGCCACCTTCGGCCTCAAACGGACAAATCCCGCGGCGATGCGGACATCTAGTCATGCTCAAGGTGGGCAGGAGCTGCTGTTGGTCTTCGTCCCAATGAATTCCGTACCAATGACGATCATAGTAGAGGACATACAGTTAGGTCGGGCCCGTCCCCCTACAGAGGGATTCTGGGCGAAAAAGTGGGAATCTTCGAATATCCCACAAAAAATACTGTGCCTCCTGTAGAGCGACAGGCCCGAATTACCACGTACAGTCGCCGCCGCCGCCGCCGCCGCCGCCACCGCCTCCTCCTCCTCCTCCGCCTCCTCCTCCTCCTCCTCCTTCCTCCTTCTCCTCCTCCTCCTCCTCCTCCTCCTCCGCCTCCTTCCTCCTCCTCCTCCTCCTCCTCCCCCTCAGACGCGGAAGCAAAAAGCATCCTTGGTTCAGGGAGGGGCCCTGGCTTCTGGGCCCCTCGTCGGGTTTCGGTCGGGGGACCCGTTGTGGCCGAGGCTCGCCGTGCTCGGTATTCGGCGTGGCTTCTGGTCGTCTGATGACTGCATATTGCTGAGATAATGCCAATGGCACTGAGCAGCAAACGTAACTGATGGCACGCGAGGGCATGTCCCGCAGGCGGTCAGTGTAGCCTAGTAGTCGTGGGGTTCTCCACAGCATCCCTGATCAGCCGAGCTGAGGTGTTGCTTGGCAAGGTATTCAACTGTTTGGCCGAGCGCCACGACTTTGTTTGGATCACGGTCACCTCGTGGCTCACCGCGGCTCGCGAACGCTCGTGGAGTGCCGCGGCAGCGTGGCGAAGGGGTGGAGGATCGCGAGAGCATGTAATGAGCATGAGCAGGGGCCACTTGCCCTCAAATCCAACCATCAGCTCGGTGAGCACGCCGAGCGAAGGGGGGGAGGCCCGCAGAAAGCATGTCGCGCAGTGCCTCGTGCCCGGCAGCTCCCGGGCCCCCTCGCGCTCCACGTGGCGCGCGGCCTCGTGCGCGGGGCGCTGTCACACCATCATCATCAGCATCATCAGCACCACCACCACCATCAGCATCATCAGCATCATCATCAGCATCATCAGCATCATCATTGTCAGCATCATCATCACCACCATCATCATCGTCAGCATCATCATCAGCATCGCCACCACCACCATCATCAGCAGCAGCAGTATCATCATAATCATCATCAGCATCACCACCATCATCAGCATCACCATCACCATCATCATCATCATCATCATCATCATCATCATCATCATCAGCATCAGCATCAGCATCAGCATCGTCATCACCACCATCAGCATCAGCATCAGCATCATCAGCATCGTCGTCGTCGCCGCCGCCGTCTTCACCGCCCCAGGCAGACGGCCACGCCTTCGAGCCGTTCTGGCACCGGACCGTCCAGGAGAAGGTCGAGGACTGAGCGGCGCCCCGAGAGGCCTCGCGCGGCGCGCACCTGGCGCGGACCCCGCCGCGAGGCCACGGGAGAGGCCCCGCTCGCGGGCGGCCTCGGTCGGAGGAGGACACTTCAGGACAGCTCTGCTCGGCCACGCGCAGAGGGGGGTAGGGCTTCTTAGAGAAGCACCCCTGCTCAGAAGGCGCGGGCCTTATCTGCACATGTGAGGCTGGCGCCTTCTAAGAAGCACCCTGCTTCTAAGAAGCCTTCCCCCCTCCCCCTACCCCCTTGTGCGCGCCGCCTATCTGCAGGAGGGGGATTCGGCGGCGAGCGAGGCTCGTCGTCCTCGTGAACGACTGCACCTACGGTCTCAAGCTTCGGCGGCGAACGGGGCGGTTATTGAGGCGTTTGCGGACGTTTTCGTCAGTGCTCGGCGGTTTCCCAGCCTTGGGGTGCTTGACAGAAGCTGCGCCTCGCCGAGGGCGTTCTGGGGTTGCCCGAATCGTCCCGAACGGCCGCCGGAGACCCGAGTTGTGACCCAAAAACCAAAAACCAGTGGAGACCCATGCCAAGAAAGACCCTGCTTGCCTCCAGAGTGCCCTGGGTCTCTTGGGTTTCGATGGGCTTGCCGTGAACAGCGTGACGTTCCCACACCAGAAACCGATGGACGTGCTGGGGTCTCAGGGTTGGGTGTCTTGTGGAAGGTTCCTTGTGGACTGGTCTCCGTTGAATTTCAGGATAACTTTGCAGGAGGGGGATTCGGTGGCGAGCGAGGGGGGGGAAATGAGAAGGCCTTCTCAAAAGGCTGCGGAACTCCTCAGAAGCCATCGCGCCTTCTGATAGGTTTTTGTTGCGTCTTCGGGGAAGGCTCAGAAAACTTGGCAGAAGTTCGGGGACTGTCCGAGCCTTCTGAGAAGGCCCGCCCTTTCTCACTTACCCTCCGGGCGCGCCGCCACGCCTGGCATGCCGGCTCTGGCGGCCCGGAGTCGAGAGAAGGAGGCGGCAGCGAAGGCCGCACATCAATCATTGATATGTTGGATCGGTCGACCAGATCGAATGTAGATTTCCTACCGAATTGACAGTGATCATCATCAAATTACACATAGTTTTCACTTCCCCCCCTGGGCGCGCCGCCTGGGGATGGGGTCCGTGACACAGCCTCGTCACTCAGAGGGCGCCCTTCGAGGGCGCAGCCTCGTAGCACCTTCTTGACGACGGAGGTGTGGCCCCTGCCGCCCCGCCAAGGCACTGCACGGGAGGAGAAGCACTTCTCCTGACTCGCGGGTCGAGAGCGCACCTCTTCCGGTCGAAGCTAAGCGGGCCGCGCAGAGCTTGAATTGCGCAGAGAATCGGGGGAGGAAAAGATACGGATACGTGTTGTCCCCCGTCGTTTTCGGCCTTTCCTGGTCCTCCTGGGGAATCCTCGTTGTCACCGCTGGATTCGCCTCGAAATTCTGGTCAGAACGCACCCCAAGAGAGGTCCGGGGACAACACGTATCCGTATCTTTCCGCCCCCCAAGAGAAGGGGGAGGAGAAGGGGGGCGCAGCCTCACGGGAGGAGAAACACAAAAGCACAGACACCATGCATCGTCGATTCCCCGGAAGATCTGGGCAACGATGGGACGTGGGGGGGAAGACGAGAGATCCATCATGCGTATGTGTATATATAGAATGGGGGATCCTGGGGTCTGTGTCTAGCTATTGGTGTGTCCTCGGGCCCCTGTAAGAGTTATCATTGCGACCCACCGAGCCGGGCACAGCGAGAGAAATGGAAGCCGCCCGGCTGCACAGGCCGGGCTGGGGATGAAGCCGTTCCAGGGCGCTCTCGGAGCGCTCCAGGACGTTTCGGGGCTGGACAGAACCCCCAATAGTGACACGTCGATTAGTGAATTGTCCGTTTCCGGTTCTCGAGAGGGCGCCGTGGCCGTCAGTTTCCAGGCTTGCGCCCGCCAGGTTTGGGCCTCAGGTCGCTTTCACTAAACCACGTTCTGCTAAAGGGGGGTCTGTCCATCCCCGGACGTTCTGGAACGGCCGCGGCGCTCGAGGTGTCCTCCAGGCCCTCCAGCTCGCACAGAGCCCGATGTTCTCCGTCAGGGTGCCCTGGGCTTCTTCGCTCCGCGCGCTGTATGGCGAAGGCGCTGAGAGAAGGACCCTTTGGGGGGCTCAGGGTGGGGCTCCTGTTTTCGGGTCGTTCCGCAGATCTGGGGTCATGGAGCACGCTCGTAGCTGAGGCCCGGCGTGGCCTGAAACTCGCCTTGGCTCTCAATTCTGCGTCCCTTCGTGGCCCTCCCGCACTTGGCGAGCGAGGAAGCACACGCGATGGCCGAGCTGCGAAGGGATGTTCACCGAGCACTCCCTGTGGTCCCCTCGCACCTGGCGTGCGAGGGAGCACTCCTGACAAGAGCTGCGAAGGGGTGCTCGCGGAGGCACGCGCCACGGCTCTGCCGCCGTACCGCAGTGCGCGCTGTGGCGCGCGGGCGCGCGCGCCGAGAGTGCGCGAACACGGAGAGGCGACGCACTCGCGGAGGCACAGCGCCACCGGCCCGCGGCACCAGGGAGGAGGAGGAGGAGGAGGAGGACGAGGACGAGGACGAGGACGAGGACGAGGACGAGGACGAGGACGAGGACGAGGAGGAGGAGGAGAGGGAGGAGGAGGAGCAGCCGCCACGAGCACGGTGGTGGCGAGCAGTCGGCGCGCGCGTGCTCGGCTGGCGCTCTTCCAGGGGGGAGGGGGGGGGAAGGCCGCGGGGGCGGGCCTCCTCGGAGGGCCGGGGAGGCCCCTGGCCTTCTGGGGACCTTCCGAAGCCTTCTCCTGCACGCACGAAATGGGTACTGAAAGAATGGGTACAATGCCCAACAGCGGATCTTGTTCATTTTGAACAGGGCTCGCTGTCCACGCCGCCGCGGCCTGTGTCCATTCGAGACAGGAGGCCGCCTGCCCAACAGCGGCCGCTGTTGGTTCGGGACAACATTTGCTGTTGGGCATTGTACCCATTTTTTCGGTACCCATTTCGGGCGTCCAAACTTCTCCTGAGCCACAGAGGAAGTCGGGCATGTCCCTCTACAGGAAAGGGATGTCACAAAATAGTCACAACAGATAGTATGGGGACGACCTTTCAACTGTTGCTTGATCATCTCAAGAGAGGGGTCCATGCAAACGGGGGTCTGTCAGAGCGCTGGATCTTGCAGGATCCTGCAGGATCCTGCAGGGCCAGGGGTGCATGACCCGGGTCAGAAGATCCACCTCCGAAGCCTCCTCCTGAGGCCCCAGCGGGCCCTTCACAAGGCAAGCGGGCTTCCGAGAAGCCTCGCCGTCGGCCCCCTCTGAGCTCGTTTCCCCCCCTCGGCGCACCCCCGCGCGACACAAAGTCACAAGACAGGAGCCAAGCGAGGACGAGGGTGAGCGGCGGCGTGGGTGCTACAGGCGGGCGCTTCCAGCGCCCCTCGCCCTGACGCGCCGCCTCGCCTCCCTCCTCCCTCCTCCCTCCCCCCTCCACCCCCTCCTCCCTCCTCCCTCCCCCCTCCCCCTCCTCCCTCCTCCCTCCTCCCCCCTCCCCCCTCCCCCTCCTTCCTCCCTCCTCCTCCCCCCTCCCCTCTCCCCCCTCCTCCCTCCTCCCTCCCCCCTCCCCCTCCTCCTCCTCCCTCCCCCCTCCCCCCTCACCCTCCTTCTCCTCCCTCCTCCCTCCTCCCTCCCCCCTCCTCCCTCCTCCCTCCGAGGGAGGAAGCTCGGCGACCACGGCCAAGATGTCGCGCGATCTGATCGGCGCTCGCCTTGGTCATGGTCCATGCCTGCCGTCGCCGACGTCGCGAGGATGGTCCACGAATTGACGATGACCAGGATGGACTCGGGCGGGGCTACGACGAGGATAAATCTGTTCCAGAGCGTTCCAGAAAGCTGTCGGAGCGTTCTGGTCTGAGAAGGCCGCGGCGCCCGAGACATCCTCCAGAGCCACCGGATCTCAGAGTTTCCGAATGTTTCCCCACCCGATATTATTTATCATCGTCCTGGCTTCGCCTCATGGACGATGACCAAGATCGACGCCGACTTTGCCGCAGTGAGTCTTGGTCATGGTCATCTTTTTTCCCTCCAGCCAGCCAGCCGCTGACAACAGTCAGCCCCGCTCCTGACTGTCGCCTCTCATCACTTCTCGGAAGCCAGCGGGAGGGCGGCGGGGGAGAAGGAGGAGGAGGAGGAGGAGGAGGAGGAGGAGGAGGAGGGAGGAGGAGGGGGGAGGGGGAGGGGAGGGGAGGGGGAGGGGGGGGAGAAGGGAGGAGGAGCAAGAGGGCGTCAATGTTTTTTGGAAGACGCGTTGGCCTCTGATTGGCCCGCGGAGGCCTCCGCGGACCTCCGAAGATGCCTCGCTGGACCTCCGAAGAGCCCTCGGGGGGAAGAAGGTGGAGGGAGGAGGGCAAGAGGAGAGGCATGAGGCGAACGTGGACGTGATCGAAGAAAAAACACATAAACATAAATTTTGGCGCTCCGCGCGGATTTCTTGGATCCGCGCTGGGCGCCCCCAGTGGCACCTCCGGCGCCGCCCCCGGCGCGCTCCGCGCGCTGGGGAGGGGGTCCAGCGCGAATCCAAGAAATCCGTTGAGGCCTCTCGGAAGCCTCTTGGAGACGGATTTGGGATGCCTTGGGGCTTTTCGGAGGCCATGTGGGGGCGTCTTGAGGGCCTGATTTGTGCCTCTTGGGGGCCTTCTGAGACTTCTAGCGCGCCTCCTGACGGGCCTGCTGGCGGTATCGGGGGTCATCTTGGAGCGGAGGGCTCGAAATGTCGATCCGTGTTCCCCTCTTGAAGCTCTCTTGGCGCTCTCTTGGGGCTATCTCGGGCCGTCTTGGGGGACCTTTCGGGGGCCTTCGGGGGTGCATTCTGGACCGATCTGGGGGGCCTCCTGGGCCGCGGAGCGTCGGAAGCCCAGAAAGGCGAGAGCGCCAAATCATACAAAAACCATGGAAATGCATATTTGGGCACACGGGGGCCCTCATGGGGGACCTCTTGGAGCCCCTCCTCGGGTGCTCTCGGGGCTCCTCGGGCCCCACGGAGGCCACCTCGGGCGCCCTGGAGCGATACTCCGCTGTCCTGGGGGCCTGTGATATAGGCCCCTCGTGGCTAGTACTGTGGCCCTCTTGGGCCCATGGAAGAGTTGCCGACAACGGATGCCGAGACCCAGGGGCGTTCGAGAGCGTCCAGAGCACGGGGCGCGGCGGGCCGTTGAAGAGGCCCCCCGCAGGAGGCCCCCGAGAGGCGCCCGAGAGGCGCCCAGGAGGCCCCCAGGAGGCTCCCAAAGGCGTCCTCGAGAGGCGTCTGTTTTCCCCTCCTCGTTCTCCTGCTCCCTCCTCTCGTCCTCCTCTCTCTTGCTCGGCCCAGCGTTTGGCCGCGTGGGCGCTCCAAAGGATGGGGGGCGGCGGTGGCTTGTCGTAGGTGTCTTCACAATTCAAAACTATATGTATATACAGTTGTGTGTAGACATGCATACACATATACATGCATAGATGCGTATACATGTATAGGTCAGTGTCGTGTGTGCTGTGAGATGTGAGCTGTGTGGTGTGTTGTGTGTTTCAAGCACATGTGTACATCTATATATATGTGTATATGTGCAGATATACAAGCGTACATACATACATGTCTATATACACATGCGCAGGCAGGCAGGCATGCATGCGTACATGCCTTCATGCATACACGCATACGTACAGACAGTCAGACCTGCATGCATGCATGCATGCATGCCTGTAGAAATGCATACATACACACAGCCATAGATTGCATGCACGCATGCATGCATATATACATACACGCATACACACATATCCATGCATGCACGCATACCAACATCATATACGTGTACATAGTGCACCCACATACCGCAACACTCCAGGAGAGGATTATGAGAGACCTCGTGCCTCTGGGCGCGGTGGAGGTTTTGTCATGCTGACAGGTGATCCAGTAATTCTCCATCCGGACTTTCGGTTCCGGGCGGGTCTTTGGACCCAGGTCGGGGAACTTCGTGGTCGAGGGTCGTCGTGACCAGGAAAGCGATGTCGGTCCTCATGGCGCACTCCTTGTGGTGGCACGATGACTGTACATCATCCACGCGCGTCCTCCGGGATGCCCGAGGGCCTCGCAGCCCTGCCCTGCACCCTCGTGCTGTGCGGCGACCGCGCTCCTCTAACCGCGACAGTCGGGGGCGAGGCACCCCTGTGTTCGGGTGCTGCCAGCAGCACCCCTGGACCAAGGTACCCCCAGGATTCTCGGGGTGGCCCAGGCGGCCTCCAGGGCACCCCATCACGAGGCCCAGGGGACCCCAGGGGCTCCAGAATGGAGCGAAAAGCCCTTCCAGGGGCACTTCTGGCAACACCCGATACGTGTCCCGAGAAGGGACGGACGATCGGCCACAGGACAGCTGGGGCGTTCGCTGCCGAGCCAGCCACAGGGTCCACGGTGCGAGCGCGCAGAGGCGGCATGTCCTTGGCAGGGAGGAGGCGGAGAGAGAAGGTCGGAGGAGGAGCAGGAGGAGAAGGTTGGCAGGGAGGATTGAGGGGGAGGGCTCGGCGCTTCGCGAATCCCTACCAGCCGGGGGGCCTCCTGGAGGCAGTTCTGAGGGCTTTGGGCGGTTGTTAGGGGGCCTATTGGAGCCTCGTTCAGGCCCCGTGGGGGCCTGTCGGGGGCCTCTTGGGGCATTCGAAGGGGCCCCTTGGGGCCTCCTGGGCGCCTCTTGGGGCGGAGAGCTTTGATTTTCGCTCCGTGTTTCCCCTCTTGGGCCCCTATTGGAGCCGTTCTGGGCCCCTTTTGGGCCGTCTTGGGCGCCTCTTGGGCCATCGTTGAGCCCCTCTTCGGGGCCTCTCGGGCCATCTGTTGGCGGTTTTCGGGGCCTCTTGGGACGTCTTGGAGCTCGAAAATTGGAGAGCCCCAAACAGTTGAAAAACCTTGAGATCTCGGCCTCTCGGGGGCCATCTTGGGAAGGCTCTTGGAGGCCTCTGTGGACGCCACTGGAGGCCATCTTGGGCGTCTTGGACCGATCACCCAGCGATTCGGGGCCCTGGCCGTTTCGAGGGCCTCTCGGGGTCCAGAGGACCGCCCTGGGGAGTTCGAGCATCCTTGGGGGGACCTTGCCGGGGTACTTCGCGTCTGGGGGCCTTGCGGGGGGCGGCTCCGTTCGCTCGGGCCAGAAGTATACGTGCGCTTGCAATTTGCAGCCCGGGATCTGAGCACGCCGCTGGCGCCCGGTGGGCCGGCGAATCGTTGAACTTGGGCGTTGCGTAATGGAGGGGTCATAAATGGGGGGGTGTCGCGGGTGGTCCGAAAAGGTACCCAAACGGTACCTAAACGAGCCCCCTGGGGCTCTGGAGGGGCCCGAAAGGGGCACGAAAGGGGACCGTTTCTGACCCCCCCATTTATGACCCCCCCATTAAGCCACGCCCAAGGAACGATTGGTGGCTTTCTGGGAGCGTTTCTCGGCCACGCGCACAGGGGGCAGGGGGGAAGGCTTCTTAGAAGCAAGGGCTCCCACGAGGGCGCGAAGTTATTCGCGCTTCGCGCTTCGCGGTCCTCGTTCCTTCTCCCCCCTCCTCCTCGTCCTCCTCTTCTCCCTTTGGGGGGGCGGCGCGAGGGCGCGAAGTTATTCGCGCTTCGCGGAGCGCGAAGCGCGAAGTTGGGAGCCCTAGTAGAAGCACCCCTGCTTCTTAGAAGGCGCGGGCCTGCTCTGTAGATGTAAGGCCAGCGCCTTCTGAGAAGCAGCATCTCTCTAAGCAGCCTTCCCCCTCCCCCGACCTCCTTTGTACGCACCGCCAAGTTTCCCTCGTGTTGTGTTTTGAAAGTCCTCTTGAAACGACTGGGGGGCTGCTTGGGGCCATCTTTGAGAGAATCGCGCGGTCTGGACTGTCTGTGGGTTTCTGTCAGACTTCGCTCTTTTCGAAGACTCGCGGCTGAGGGGCCAGCGCAGAATATTCAAGAAACGACAGGGGGGAGCTGTGTTCCAATATTGAGATTGCACCGTTTTTGGTCGGGAGGGGGTGGGGCGATTTGGGCAGCATCCGTTGGGTGAGTTCGTAGCCTCGGTAGCGCGAACTTGTTATAAGTTACATTGTGGCATCGGGGGCTCGAATTTGGCTTGATGTATAAAGGATCGCAGATATGTCTCCCAATGGGACAACTAAACGTATGAGCGGTGTGCCAAAATGGATGTGGTTGTGGGATGCGGGCCATGCCAATGGGGCCTTAGGTGGGTGGGCCCCCTCATGGGGCCACGAAAGTGTGGGGGGTGTGCAGTGGGGGGCCATGCCAAGAAACACCCTGCTTGAATCCAGGGTGCCCTGGGTTTCTTCGCTCTTTGCGATTGAAAGTGTGACATTCCCACGCCAAAAATCAAGGGACGTCCTGGGGTCTCAGGGTTGGTTTTCTTGTGGAAGGTTTCTTGTGGTCGGGCCCCTACTGTAACGAAATCGACACGGTGGCGCCATGCGGGTGCTGCCATTGTGGCCTTGAGTGGGGCTCCTGTGGAGCCACTAAACGTATGAGGGGTGTGCCGAAATTGGTGCGGTTGCGCGATACGAACTCTACCAATGGGGCCTTAGGTGGAGCGCCCTATGCCGCGAAACGTGAGAGGGGTGTGCCGATATGGATGCGGTGGCGCCAGGCGAACCTTGCCACGGGGGCCTTCGGTGGAGCTCCCTATGGTTCCACGGAACGTGTGAGGAATGTATTGAAATGGGCGAGATGGCGCCATGCGAATCTTGCCATTGGGGCCTTCGCTGGAGCTCCTTATGGAACCACGAAGCGTGTGAGGGGTGTGCACACATGGTTGCGATGGCGCCCTGCGAACCTTGCCAATGAGGCCTTAGTTTGAGGCCTCATAAGGCCACACGGCATGTAATTGTTGTGCATACATGGCGATTGCGAGGAGGAGGAAGGAGGAGGAAGGAGCGTCGCGGGGCGCTGCGGATTCGAAATGATGACCCAACACCGCAGAAACGTGCTTTAGACAAATACCACATATAGCAAAATAGAGAGCCGAATTTGATTTGGTGATTTAGTTTGTCGATGATGCCCGTGGGCGTTGGTTCCGTTGTTGCGGGGTCCGTTCTATTTTGCCGATTACATGTTCAAGAACATCTTGACGAAGGACCCAACCATATGCAGTTGTGAATATTGATGTTGTGGGTATCGTCTTCGGTGGATCTCCCCGTGAGGCCACAAAACGTGAAAGGGGTGTACCAAAATGAGCGCGGCGGTGCCATGCGGGCTTTGCCACTGGGGCCTTCGGTGGGGCCACGAAATGTGTGCGCGGTGTGCCGAAATGGGCGCGGCGGTGCCATGCGGGCGTTGCGGGTCCACGAAACGTGTTAGGATGTGCCGAAATGGGCGCGGCGGTGCCATGTGGGCGTTGCCACTGATGCCTTCTGCGGGGACCCCTATGGGGCCACGAGATGTGTAGGCGCGGCGGTGCCATGTGGGCGTCGCCATCGGAGTTCCCATGTGGAAGAGGACGAGGTCCTGCCAGAGTCCTCGTTCTCCTCGTCATCCTACTCCCCGCCTCGTCATCCTCGTCATCCTTTACGTCCTCGTCCTTATCCTCCACGTCCTCGTTCTACTCCCCGCCCTCGTCCTCTTCCTCGTCCTTGTCCTCCTTGTGCTTCCCCTTCACCTCCTCCTCCACCTCCTCCTCCCTTCCCTCCTTCTTCTCCTCCTGTTCAACCTCCCCTCGTCCACGTCCTCGTCGTTTTTCCCGCTCTCCGTCCGAGTCTTACCAGCCCGTTCAGAAACGCTGCCCATGAAAGATGACGGGAAGTGAGAAGAAGAGGCACACGTAGTTAGTCAAAGCCAACAACCATGCGGGCGAGGGACGAGGGCGGGCGGGGAGTAGAGCGAGGTGCGGAGGAACAGGACAATGCCGAAAAGGATGAGGAGGACGAGGACGAGGGGGAGAGTTTGGACGATGAGGGGAAAGTGGACGAGAATGAGGGTGAGTTGGGGATACGCGACGCGTGAATCATGTTGCGTTTGTCCGCCATTTCGTCCACAATCCGGAGGTGTATTTTTGTTGAAAGCTCAGTCTCGGGGCAACCCTTTTGCAGGTCCTAGCGAAGGCCAGGGAGAACACAGGAAACATGGTCACGCTGCAGGTTCTTGGAGCAGCAACGACGCCGTCAATGCCTATGAGTTGCGAACGGGTGGCCAGACAGAGCCATTGGAATGTGTTCGCATGTTCGAGGAAGCGTTAGTGATATCTGAAAGAGAGACATTTGCATGTGGAGTGGAATTTTATTTGCCATCCGAGGGAATCTGCATACCGAGTTGCTTCTGGGTTGACAACAGCTACCTCCTAGAAAACATTCGAGGAGTTCGCATTCATGTCCAAAGTCCTTTCCAATCTCTGGATTGAATTCAGTGGGCGTGGAAGCCAGAGAGCCTCGAGATTCTCATGGTGAGTGTTACGCACGACGACGCCAATCTAGCAGTGCAAACTCGAGGCGGGGACAATGTGTATTCCATCACGTCCGAAATAGTTGCTCTGGGCGGGGTGTTGAGCGCATCTGATCCGAATGGTGGTCTTATTGCGTACCGTCATGGCCAAGCGGACAAGGCTCAGGAGTGACAAAAAACACAGACACAATTCATCGTCGATTCCCAGAAAAAATGAAAAATCTGGGAAGAGGGGGGGAAGACAGAAACCCAGAAAATATTTGAAAGTATGGGACTCCTGTTATTTGTGTGTATTTGTTTGTGTGTCCCTGGGCCCCTTGAAAGGCGCATCACAACACACAATAAAGCATTTCGGTCGAAGGCGCCCGTGCAGGTCAAGTCTCAAGCTTTTTCGCAGGAGTGCCTCGACTTTCTGCTGCACCTTCCGCTTGTACACTGGACGAAAACGAGGCTGTGGACAACGATCAGGTTGGATAGGAAAGAGTTCACACCAGCCACGAAAAATGTTCAAGAAGGCGGAGCACGCGTGGAGGGATTGTTTGATAGCCATGCGAGGCAAAGTATGTGCAGGGATGGGTTTCGCAGGTGAAAGTTGATCCATGTGCTGGTTTTGGAGACCGTTCACGTTCAAATTTGGCGAGAGAGGCACAACATACCAGAGCTGGAGGTGGAGGAGAGCAAGCAAAAGGGCCAGAGGTCTCCTGGATGCTTCTCAGAGCCTCTTGGGGTATCTCTTGGGCGTCTTGGGACGTATTGGGGGTCTCTTGGCGGTCGTAGGGGGCTCTTCGGCGCCGTGGGTGCCTCGGGGGGGCCGCTTTGGGACCCTTTTGAGGGCCTCCTGGGGGCCTTTTGGGGCCATCGTGGGGCCATCTTGGGACCTCTTGGGGCCTACTGGGCGCTTCTTGGGGCCATCTCGGAGGAGATCGATCAAACAAGAGGGAGGCATTAATTAACACCCCCCCCAGAGGCCAACAAAATGATTTGTGCTTCCTCACCGAGGCCGCTTTGGACGCTCCGACGACTCGCGAAACCCCTTGTC